CCCTGAAGAACCAGGGCTGGAGCATCCTTTGGGGAAACTGAGTTGGGAACATCCCCCGGGAAGCCGGGGCAGGAGCATCCTCCACAGAACCAGGGCTGGAGCATCTTCCCAGGAAACCAGGACTGGAGCATTCCCGGGGGAAACTTGCCCAGGAGCATTTTCTGAGGGAACTGGAGGTGGAGCATCCCCTGGGGGAACTGGGACTGGAGCTTTCCCGGGGGAAATTTCACCAGGAGCATTTTCCAAGGGAGCCAGAGCAGGAACATCCCCTGGGAAGCGGGGGCAGGAGCATCCTCCATGGAACTGGGACTGGAGCATCCCTCAGGAAACTTGGCCAGGAGCATTTTCCAAGGTAGGAGCACCCTCTGGGGGAACCAGGCCAGGAACAGGGGGATCTGGAGCTGGAGCATCCCCTGGGGGAACTGGGGCAGGAGAATCCCTGGAGGAGCCAGGACAAGGAGGATCCCCCAACCCCCAAGCTTTCCCCACAGGGAAACTGAGGCATGGAGGAGTATGGAGAAATCTACTGAGCTGCCCCCAAACCTTGGTTGGTCTTGGTGTGGGCCCTGCAGAGCCACCCAGCCCCCAGGTCCCATCAGACAGGTCATGACAGGACCAGGATACAGTTGGGGCCTTCTGGGCTGTGAGCACGTGGTGGTGGCTCATGTCCAGCTTTTCACCCCCCAACACCCCCAAGTTCTTCTCTGCAGGGCTGCTCTCCAACTCTTCATCTCCCAGCCTGGATTGATACAAGGATTTCTCCAGATCCAGGTGCACTTGGCTTTGTTGACCTTCAGGAGATTCACGTGGGGACACCTCTCAATCCTGTCCAGGTCCCTCTGGATGGATCCCACCCCTCACCTGTTTCAACCACACCACTCAACTTGGTGTCAACGTGCTGAGGGTGCCCTTGACCCAACTGCCCCTATCACCACAAAGACACGAAGCTGCAACACCCCAACCCCAACCACCGAGGAACTCAACTGGGACACTGAGCCATTGACTGCAGCTCTTGGAGAGCCACCATCCAGCCAACTCCTCACCCACCGAGTGGCCCTTCAATCAAATCCACATCTCTCTCCTTGGGAGATGTGGCTGTGCTGCAGGACAGTGTTAAATGCTTCTCACAGCCCCAGGCAGATGACATCAGTGGCCCCACCCTTGCCCTACCTTTGCTCACCAACACCCTGTTGGAGAAGGAAGTGTATGAAGTGTCAAAGGAGTCAGCTGGCCACCTTCCCAGGAGGAGGGGTTTCCATTGTCCCAGGAGGAGGGGTTTCCATCTCCCCAGGAGGGGTTTCCATCTCCCCAGGAGGGGTTTCCACCTCCCCAGATCTTCCTGCAGTTTCGTTTCTGCTCGGCGACAGGAGTTCCCGGCACCCGGACGGATCCGGAGCTCAGAGGTTGTATAAACTCACCCCAATTCCAGCTGCTTTTGTAACGGGCTTCTTGGGTGCTGCTGCTGCTTCTTCCTGCCTGCTCGGGGCTCGGACGTCCCGAGTTCCTCTAGATAATGACTCTGATTTCAGCCTGATTAATTAATTAGCGCTGCGCTTACTGGCGGCACCTTTGGGGCAGGTTTCTTTGCAAGGAGGAGGCTGAATTCTCTCGGCGCCTCTGCTGCAACTTGCTGGACTTGGTTTCCTTTGAGACCCTTTACTCTGATAAATTCCATGAAACTCTGAACTCTTGGGAATTCAAGGTGAGATCGTTGTCTCAAACCTCCTGCGGCCAACCCAGGCTGTGCTGCAATGTTCAGGTTGGCTTGGGAACCCCTCCAGGGGTGGGGACTCCACCACTGCCCTGGGCAGCCTGGCACAGCCCTGGGCAACCCTCCAGGGCAAGAAATTGTTCCTCAGGGACAACTGAAACCTCCCCTGGGGCAACTTGAGGCTGTTTCCTCTTATCCTGTCCCTTGTTCCTTGGAGACCAGCCCAACCTTCAGCATCTACATGCCTTGTCTTGTTACAAGGAAATATCTGCTGAAGAGTAAATTTGGCACCTCTGTTGAGTCTCCTGTCAGCCTCCATGTCTCTAGCGAGTCTCTGGCCTCTCCCACTCTTCTCCCCTACACCAAGCAGCCACCAGGGAGCTCACCCTGCTGCTTGGACACTTCAGGGTTAATCCCTGGTGTCCTGTGAAGAAGCCAGAGACTTGAAGCTCCACAGAAGTTCTGCTGTGGCCCCAGGGGAGGCACCAGTGCCATGCTCAGCTCAAAGTGGTGACAAATGTGACTTGGCTCTTCCTCTTCGTTTCAGGAAGAACTTACAAGACTTCCTTTCCCTGGAGCCACCATCTTCTGGTCTGCAGACAGCCCCGTGTCCAGTACACGACTCCAGCCCACCACCCACCTCAGGTGACACCCAGCTTGGAGTTGGGCTCTTAGGATGGAAGGAGAAAGTCACAGGAAACGAGGTGAGTTCAAGGGGATCCTGCTCCGTGTCCTCCTCACCCCAACATCGCCGGGAGGGAGTCCTGCACTGCTGCACCCTGCGAGGTGCCCCTGAGGGAGAGGAGACCCAGGTGGTCGCTCAGCATCTCCTCCCTGGCCAGGGATGCTGGGAGCTGGAGCCCAGCCAGGTGCCCATGGACCCGGGTTCTCTGCCGTGGCTGAGGGAAACTGGGACCCTAGAACTGGGGGGTACAAACACCGGGACAGGGGGGATACAGACACCAGGGTTGGAGAATATGGACATTGGGAGTGGTGGATCCAGAGACCTGAATTGGGGTCTCCAGGCACTTGGATCCCCAGTATCTGCACCAACCACCCACGGTCCCACTCCAGGCACCAGCACAGAGCCCCTCGCTCACCTCAGTCACACCAGTCTCCCCCAGGGGCTGGTTTTTGGGACACACCATGTTCCTGCCCCAGTGGCTGGAGGTTGACGACTCCCGTTTGCCCCAGTTGCTGCCCTGGGACCCCAGTAGCTGAGCATGGTGCAGGGGCACCCCCAGCCCTGCTCTGACTCCAGGAGCTGGCCCCAAACCCTCTCAACAGCCACAGGTCTCAGCAGGCAGCGGTGCTGGGTCCCTGCAGCACACCCAGCACAGAGGATGAGATTTAGGGCTTGGGCTCTGAAGGCATCTCCCATGGGGGCAGAAAAGGGGAGCTCAGCTGAAGCTGGGGCCCAGAGGAGGAGCGTTGGTGTCTTTGACTTCCTGGGCAAGCTTGTCTCAAGCAGGAGCAGCCGTCAGAGGAGGGTGTTGGTCAGGTGGGAGCTTTCCTGGGGCTGTTAGAAAAGGTCTTGAGTTGGCAAAGCCTCTAGAGAGAGCTGGAGAACCGGTGCAGCCCTGAGAACTCTCCTTCCATTGGAAAAGGTGACGATGCCAATGCAGCAGCAGCGACTGGCCAGAGGAGATCATGCACCAGAGACCCAAATCCTGCAGGGGGGAACGAAGAGGCTCTGAAGGACTGTGAGTATGGAAACTACGTGGTGCCTGCTGAGCCTGGGAGATCCTTTGGGAAACGCCTCCCAAAGAGAGAGCTGCAGGCACAGCTCTGACCCTCTAACCCCGTCCTGCCTCCAGTTGGAAAGATGCAGAGTGACCTAAAGGAAGTTCTGATGAAGTCTGAGGAGAAGCTGCTGCTGTTCCTCAATAACCTCAGAGTGCCTGAGACAAGACAAGAGATTGAATACCTCAGGTGAGTTGTCAGATGCTCTTTGTGCCCGTTGCCCCTTGTCCTGTTGCTGGGCACCACTGAGAAAGTCTGGCCCCAAGCTCTTGCCCTCTGCCCTTTAGAACTTGCTAAGCATTGAGAAGATCCCCTCTCAGTCTTCTCCAGCATAAACTGTCCCAGGGCTCTCAGAAGTTTCTTCTCAGAGAGATGTTCCATTGCCCATTAGAAGGTGACGGTTCCCACAAGGCTGTGAGGAGGCTGAAGCTGATGTGGTGCCCAGCGTGCCACTGGCAATCTGTCCTTGGATTGGACACGGGGGAGAGGCAGGATCCCACAAGTGGCCATTCCAAGTCTCTTTGGTACGACCAGAATTTGTCTCTCTCCCTCCTCAGGGGCTGCCTCATGAGCTTGAGGCCGGACATTTTGCTGGATCCCATCTACATCGGTCTCTTTGGCAGCACCGGGGCAGGGAAAACCACCTTGCTGAATGCCATCCTAGACAAAAAATTCTTCTTGGCAGTGTCTGGGTCCACGGCCTGCACATCCTGCGTGGTGCAGGTCAACGCGAGCCCATGCAGACAGCACGAGGCAAAAATCCACCTCCTGACAGACACGGTGTGGAGCCTGTTCCTCTTTGTGCCCCTGGGAGGAAGGGAGGTGGAGGCGAAAGGAGATTTTGGTAGATGTGGGGTGGGGGAGGATGCAGCCACGACGGCCAGAGCGTCCCCAGAGAAGTGAGAGGCGCTGGCACGGGTTCCCAGGGGTTGGGGTGTGCAGGGTGGGATGGAGCCGTGTGGTGTCTTGGTGCTCTGCTGTCCTGGGGGCTCGAGACCCCTCCGCTGTGCCGCTGCGCTGCTCGTCCCGGGGCAATCCGGCTCAGGCCCTGCCCCTCCCCTCCCTCTGCCAGGCCCCCGAGCCGTGTCCTCTTCTGTGCAGCTGCTCTGTCTTGACAGGAGTGGAAGGACGAGCTGAAAAATCTGGTGGCACTGGCAGCCGTGGATGAGGGCGAGGAGGAGGAGGAGGAGGAGGATGACGAAGTGCGCCAGGACGCGGTTTCAAAGATCTCAGCGATCTATGGGGAAGGAGCTGTAAGGAAGGGTTATGAAGAACTGTGTAAGAAGGACCCCGTGGTCAATATTCCTCCTTCAAGATGTATCACCCTCAAGGAGAAGGACGTGAGTAGCCCGTCTGTTTCTTGGCCAGCACGAGCACCTGTCCTGGGTCCTTGCAAAACACAGCCAAGGATCTTAACCCACTTGGGGCTGTCTCAGCCCCAGCAAGGGAGCAGAGTCTTTGGAGCTGGCTCATCGCCCTGGGAAGAGCACACGGGCTTGAGGGGCACGTTTGTCTCCAGATCTTGCTCAGTTTAAGGTCTCCGCTGTGCCTGGGTGGGAGAGCAGCAGTGTGCAGCAGATGCTTGAGGGAGAGGGTGAACCTGGGGGCTGGGAGGTGGTGTCTTTACTCTGGTTGTGTTGGTGAGGTCCATTGTGCTGGGAAGGAAGTGGGCTCCTTGGGTTGTCCCACTGTCCATGACATCGGGAAGTTGTTTCCCCTCTTCAAACCATGGTGCCCATGCCTAGGGCATGGGGCTCTGAGTGGTCACAAGCAGCCGTGGCAGGTCCTTGTGGTTCTCTCTTAGCGCTGAGCTGCTTTGCCAAGGAGAGGTAATTCTTTATGTGCCCCAGGAAGAAAAGTTTTCAGAAATGCTGTGGCCATATATCCGGAATCCAAACAGCTCTGGTGCTGCAGAAGCAGAAACAAGTGAAGAAAAGAGAAAAAAACAAGTCTGGCCTCTAATCAAAAACGTGGAAGTGACTGTGCCAGAGCTGCAAGGGCTTCCAGAAGGTGTCGTCTTCGTGGATATTCCAGGGATGGGCGATTCCAACAGCAAGAGGGATGCCATGTGGAAAGAGGTGACTGGCACAGCTCCCCGTGGGGAGGTTGGGGACGCTTGCTGGCAGTCTGGCAGGGTGCTCTGCAGTGATGTCCCTGTTCCACACGGGATGGAGACATCAGGGATCTTCAGCAGGGCTGTGAGGAACACGGAAACCTTTTAGCAGAAGGGCCAGATCAACATTGCCATGTTGTGCCCATGGGCTTGTATTATTTGTCTGTCTTCCTTCCTGATGTCAAGCTACGTCCCAACACCCTTCTCAGGGAAGCCTTGGTGTCCTAGCCAAGCCCCATCTTTGGCAGTCCTCGTGGTAGGAATTCATGGTGGGAGGCTGAGGTGTCTGCTCAGAAGTCCACTCTGCAAGGCTTGTCCCTCCTCTTTCTTCAGCCAGAGTTACTGGGAATTAAAGGTGCTCAGCATCTCTGGTGGATGTTTGTTGCTTGCTGATGGTTCATATCTTCTCTTTCTGGTGCTTCTTGTTCTCCTCCTCCCATCACAGAACATCAACAAATGCTCTGTCATTTGGGTGGTCAGCTCCATGGAGCGTATTCTGGGAGACAAAAACCATGTAACAGTGCTGAAGGAAGGCATGAAGGCTTTCCAGCGTGGGATGTGCAAGGACATCTCCTTGGTGGTCACAAAGGCTGATTGCATGAACCTCCCTGAATACCAGAGGTAAAGAACCAAGCTGGCCCCACTTGGGCTGTGCTGGCCCAGTCCTTGGTCCCTTCTCCATCCAGGAGCAGAGGACTGCTGCCTGCTGGTCTCCTTCATCTGTGTGATTTCTGTTTTATTTTTCCCATTGCAGGGAACACAACAGAGATGACGTGAGTATTTTCCAGCCTTGCATCCCTTCATCCCTCTCAGGCCCTTCAAGAAAGTCAGAGAATTTTCCTTATGCCATCTCGTGACTTGAGCAGAATGGGTTGACTTAACACAGAAAGTGGAGAGTCTGTGCAGCTCTTGGCCTTGTATCAGGGAGAAACTCTACTGGACAATTCTTTGGTCTTAGATATTTCAGGAGGGCGGGTTAGGGAGATGTTGGGATGAAGGTTGGACTTGATGATCCTCGGGGTCCTCTCCAAGCACAGTGATTCTCTGAGTGTAGTGAACATTGCCAGGAAATGTCAGTCATCATTCCTATTGTTTTCCCCGCTGTAGATCAGTAAAGAAGAGGCCATCCTGGAAAGGAATGAACACGTGAAGCAGGAGAAGAGTAAAATAATGAAGGCAAACCTAGAGGTAAAGTCGTTTGGAGAACCTGGAGGGGGTTTGCCCGTGTCGTGAACCTGTGTGTGAGGGTGTGCCTGCATTACAATGTTCTGAGCCCCCTTTGTTCCTCTGAATCCTCCGTGGAGTCTGGGCATCATCCCAGAGCTCCCGATCCCCCTGAACTGCCCCTTTGCGCTGTGTTTGGGTCCAGTCTGTCTGCTCAGTGAGCTCCAGTGAAGGGAAGGGCCTCAGGACGTGGTCCATGGATTCGGGGAGAAGATGGAGATGGTCTGAGCTGGTGTGTGTGTGTCTTTCAGAAAAAGCTCCCGAGTGACTCCCAGGTTCTGAAGAAGAGAGACCTCGTGTACACGACCAGTGCCTGGGAGTACTGGGACGGGAAGATGCTCAGCAGGGAGGACACAGGTGACCTTGGGGCTCTCTCTCTGGGGGACACCCGTGGGGACGTTGTGGTCCCTGGCTGAGGGCAGCTGACCCTGTGGGAGGCGTGGGGACGGCTCCTGGCCTCGGGGGGCCCGGGGAATTTCCTCTCCTCCTCCTCCTCCTCCTCTTCCCCCACCGTGTCCTCCCGATTTGTGACTAAACGTAGCGCTGAGGCCAGAGCTGGCCCCTCGAGCTCAGCCTGGCCTCGCACCCCCACGGTGCTTCTCCAGAAGAGCAGTTGTAGCCAGATTTTGGGCTTTCCCCAGTCTCTGCGTCGCCCAGTAGGTCCCTGTTGGATCCGTCACATTCCTGCCATCCCCAATCCCTCTCCTTGCTCCTCGGCACCTCGGGTGGGGTTGCGCTGAAACCGCGGGCAGTCCTTGTGACCTTGCTTTTGCCAGAACCCTTCTGGCTTGGCACGATGGGCTCTTGCCCTGCCCTCTCCTCTCCTCCCTTGCACTCCACTCAGTGCTGGGGATCTGCCCCAGAATTATTCTCTTCCCTTTGGATGCCAGGATTGGTTTTTTTTCCCCAGTCTTTCAGAAGCAGGACCCGTTGCTCTAACCCAGATGAGACCGTCAGCAGGAGCCTGCACTGGCTATGGACGCATCTGGTCCTCGGCTCACCTAAAAAATCTTCTCCAGTGCTTTATTTCCCATGCAACATCCTTTTCCCAAGGCCCTTGTATTGCTCTGTGGGTCCGGCCCAAGTCCCAGTGGCCCCCAGCCCCCTCCCCAAGCTCTGATGGACCAGTGCTTGTGCCTATGTGGCTGTGTGCTGAACCAGACCAGGCACCTGGAGTGGCAGCAGCTGAGTCCCCAAAGCCTCCCTAGAGATCCAGGGTCTCCCAGGCGCCTTCTCAGGCTGCTGCTGGTGAAAGGCTGATGTCCCCGAGGTTCTGCAGGAGGAACAGTTTCCCTTGGGGGTCTCTGGGAGGCGTGCTGCCCTCTCACCCTGCTAACTCCACCTTGCTGCACGCTTTCAGAGATCCCAAAGCTGAGGGGCTACATCCAGACGTTCTACATAGCGCAGAAGAGGAACAAGCTGAAGAATTGTGCATCGGATGCTTTGGCCATTTTGTCACTGATTCAGAGTCTTCGATCCAACCCAGATGCACAGGTTTGTGCAGAGCAGCCTCAGGGAACGGCAAAAGAACTGAGAAGGGATTCACAGAGCCTCAGTGTTGTTATGATTGGAAGAGACCTTTAAGGTCTCAAGCGCAGCGAGGCACTGCTGCCCAAAATAGCCACAGTCAGCTCAGCTTAACTCCATCTCCTACAGCTTCCCCAACAAGAAGCAGCCCAGGCTGTTCTCCAGCTCCCCATGGCACAGTGGGACAGTTTTCCTCTAGGTGTCCCTGAGCCATGTCCCTGGACTGGGGGAAGTGGTGGGGGACAGGGGCAGCCCTGCTGGCACTGGTTGCAGGGATGCTCGCAGGGATGTGTTTTCACTGCTCCCAGCACGAGCTGATCACTGGGGTTTTTTTTTCCCCCCTCTGTTTTCCCTTCATTTCCGTACCAGGATGTGAACAGAAGTTACTGGAACAACTTTCTGGAGAAGATCTTTGGGGAATTGAGGAAAGATATTGAGAAATGCTTTGCACCTATCAACCAGCCACTCAATGAAGGTTTAAATCGAGTGAAGAGGGTGTATAACAAAACTGTCAACAAGATCCTCACTGTGAGTATGAAGCAGTTTGTCTGGAAGCCTAGAATAACTGAGCTTGGAGAAGACCCTTGGAGGTCTGTGGGGATGGCTGACACCAACTCAGCACAAATCCAACGCCCAGCCCCACACGAGGTGCTGTGAAGGACTGAACTCCACCCCAGCCCCAAGCAGCACATCCAGGCTCTAAAAAGCTCCAGAGACCTGGAGCTCAGTGGACCAGGCTGGCCCACTCCTTTTCCCAGCCATGTGGAGAATCTCAGCTGGGCTGGGTGTCACCGGTGCCCCCAAAGCAGCCAGCTCAGCGGGATGTGTCCAGAGCTGGCTGGGTGGAGCGTGGGCTGACACAGGAGATGGGGCACATCAGCAAGCCACACCCTGGGGGATCCTGAACAGGTTGCTACGGTCTCTCCCAGACCCACGCAAGGCCACAGAGGAGACTAAAATGCTCTTGATCCAGCAGGAGAGTCCCCTTAGCCCCATTCAGCATCTGTCCCATCTACGTCCACTCCCAGCTCCTTCTGCACCCTGTTGTGGGATGACACTGGAGGGCTACCGGCTGTCAGGATGCATCCACAACTTCCCCCACCCCCAGATGGAGAGGTTTCTAGAGAGACTGAGGGCACGCTCTGTCAGAGGCAGCCCTTTAGCCTCTCATCTATTTCTCTGCCAGTCCTTGTTCTGCTCTTATCTGAGTCGGTCTCAGTTGGTCCTTGGCTAAACCCGCAAAAGGCACTTGGCTGCTCTGCTGCCTGGGAAGGCATTTTGTTTAGTGTGGTGTGAGGGAGAGAGAAAATGGACCATTCCCCACACACACGCCCAGTCTGCACGCTGCTGGGGCAGCAGGAGAAGCAGAAGTGGCCTTGGTGTTGTGCAAGCCCTGCTTAGCAGTCACGAAACCATCTCTGCGTTCCCAACGCTGTTCTCAGCACAAACCTGGTTTAGGGTTTCAGATCTCCACCCACCAGGGGCAGCAGGTTTCAAACCATTACAGCTTGCTGCTCCGTGCAGATCTTGGTCAGGCATCAGTCCTGTCCACGCCTGACCCCTCTGTGCTTCGTGTCCCGCAGCGAGCCCAGGGCTACAAGGGTTACCACAGGACACTGAAAGCTGTGTGCCAGAGGAACGGGCTCTACGTGTCCCGAGCCTTTGGCCGCATTGATGTCAACACCTCCCTGGCTCAGCCCATCTACGAAAACATCGACCTGAGTTTTGGAATCATCTTCAGGTGAGCGAGTCCTTTCCCTGTGTGGCGTCAAAGGGTGCAGAAAGGGGCCTTGAGGTGCCCACGGGTCCTCTCCTGCCCTGCAGCAGGATGGAGGGTCAAGCGTGTTTCTGGCGAGGTTTTGTCCAGCCTCCACTACTGGGGACCTTGCACCCTCCCCAGGCTACCTGCTCCATCACACCAGGATCCCTTGCCCTAGAAGACATCTCCTAACGTCTAACCTCAATGCCCCAGCTCTTCCATTCCTCAGGGTTATGGAAGCAGGAGGTTGCTTTCTCCTTCCCAGTGTCCTTTCTTGCAGGGGAAGGCTCCCACGTTTCCCCTCAGCCTCTTTATGGTGGAACAGATCCCAGTTTTCTGTCCTTCCTCGTAGGACTTGACTTCTCATTGCCCATCCCAAGCCTGTCTCAGAGTTGTCTTTCCCTGGAGCACGGTGCAGACTCTGGCATTGCTGCTCCAAGGAGGGAGGTTTACAGAGTGGGATGTAGGGAAGGATGAGGGGGATGCCCTCGTCCAGGGCATCTTCTCACTTTGTACACACCCTGGGGCTGTCGCCTGGTTTTATAGCCACACAATAGAGTTTACTTGCTGCTGCAGGTCAGGTCTTCTCCAGGTAGCACCTGCAGCTCTGAGGCATGACTCCACGTGCAACTGCCCAGCTGGGAAGGGCCCAGCAGCGTTGGCTTTCCCACCACCTTATTGAAAATCACACTTGTTTGCAGGCAAAGCCCAGCTGGTTGGTGGGAGTAGCCCAATCCATCCAGTCCAGCTTGGTGTTTGCTCATGAATTATCATAGAATCATGGAATGTCTGGGCTGGAAGGGACCTCCAGAGGTCATCTAGTCCAACCCCCTGCCATCAGCAGGGACATCTCCAACTAGATCAAGCTGCTCAGAGCTTCATCCAGCCTGATCTTGAATGTACCCAGGGATGGGGCCTCCCCCACCTCCCTGGGCAATCTATTCCAGTGGTCTATCACCTTCAGACTGAAGAACTTTTTCCTCACATCTAACCTAAACCTGCCCTTTTCTAGCTCAAAGCCACTGCCCCCTCGTCCTGTCCCTCCAAACCCTTGTGAACAGCCCCTCCCCTGCTTTCCTGTAGCCCCTCTCGGGTACTGGAAGGTTGTTATAAGGTCCCCCTGGAGCCTCCTCTTCTCCAGGCTGCACAGCCCCAACTCCCTCAGCCTGTGCTCCCAGCAGAGCTGCTCCAGCTCTCAGATCAGTTTTGTGGCTCTCTGCTGAACGTGTTCCAACAGCTCCACGTCCCTCGTGCATTACCTGAGCACACAGAGACTGGGTGGAGCGTGGCTGCACGGGGAGCACTTAGAGAAGGTAGAGGATGGAGAAGGTGGGACAGGCTGTGGTGCTCAGGCACGGGGCTTGGCCAGCTGGGGAAGTTTCTCCTTTCAGTGCGTGGAAACCGCGCTGCTCCGCTGACTTTCACGTTCCTGTGGCTTCTCCTCGGCTTCCTGCCGTCAGGGTGGGGAGGTGGTGGGTGATACCACATCTATTCCTCTGTCCTGGATGAGCTTCTCACCCCAACAGCGTCCAGATGGATGATGGCTGCACACTGAAAGATTGCCTCAAAAAATTCGAAGAAGCCATGAAGAAGGAACTGCAGAAAGCATTGCAGGAGAACCTGCTGGCTGACGAAGGAGACAAGCTCAGGTTCCTTGAGCAGGAGGTGTGCTCACCTTGTGAGGGGAGAGGGAGAGCATCCGGGAGGGGCTGTGCAATCAGGAATGGCCGCTGGGAGAACGGGCAGGGGAAAGCAAGGTCTTGGTAGGACCTGTTTAGATGGTCTCGGCACTGAGGAGGCCCAACCTCAAACCCTGGAGTCAGTTTGGGATCCTCCCTCCAAGAAGGACCTTGAGGGGCTGGAGCGTGGCCAGAGAAGGGCAACGGAGCTGCTGGGGAAGGGTCTAGAGCTTTCCACCTTGCCTTTAGCAAGCTTGGTATTGAGGAGGGTGTGGAGTCCATGCACTTCTTCTTCTATCCAGTTTCTTCTAAACTTCTCTGTTCTACATGAATGGAATAGAGTAGAGTAGAGTAGAGTAGAGTAGAACAGATTTTTCAGCTGCCAGGGGCATCTTCCACATTAAGTCAGAGCCCAGTGGAGAGCTGATGCCCACCAGCACCAGCTCTGCCAGTCCTCCACTCAACACCACACGTTTAGATCATCTGCAGGAGATGATTGGTATGGGCTTGTTAGCCCAGAGCCTTCTGGGTGACCCAAGCAACGGTGGCGAGCACTTGAACTTATTCTTGCAGACAAACTTCATCATCAGGGAGACCGAAAAAGTCATCCTGGAGAGGAAAGCAGAGATCTACAGCTCCCTCACCACGTCCATTGAGAATGACCTGCTGCAGTACTACAGAGGTATGGCCACTCACCTCCTCTTTACCCCACTGCACACGGAAGGTTCTTCCAATGTTTACAAAATAAGCCAAATATGGGGTCAGAAGAAGAGTCCAGGCAGGCAAACTCTCTGTTGAAAGGTTGGAAGAAAGCCACAGGACAAGGGGATGACTTGGGCATCAACTCCAAGGGGATCCTAAAGTCTGAAGTAGATCGTTCTCAAAACAAAACCAATTAGCTGCCTGTTTTACTCTAATTCACTAATTCTTGTAAATAACAGATTATTTTTCCTGGAATGAAGTCACTGTTTGTGCATCTTTGAAAGCCACCCCTGCTGTCTCCTTTAGCATCCAAAAGCAATAAGCTCCTGGATTGGCTGCTGCCATCCTTGCCCATCAGTAGGGGGAATACTCAGAAAATGAAGACATTAAAAGCCCAGAACCCTGAGGTCCCTCAGGTCTGACCCCAATGACTTGAGGATTGAATTCGGACAACGGGCTGCTGGGCCATCAGCCAAGCCCAAGGAGGAAAGAGTCCTGGAGATGGGTCACCTCCAGCAGAGCACTATAAACCACAGCAGTTTCCATTCCCAAGCCACACCTCTGGCCCTCCTCCCCACGGGCATCGTGGGGCTGATCTCAATGTGACAGAAGCCACTTTACCAACAGAGGCTGCCAGGCAAAGTGGAAAGGGAGCCTGCACCAGCCAACAGAGGCTGCCAGGCAAAGTGGAATCCAAGCTTACATCAAGATGAAGAACATCCTCAGCGAGGGCATAAAGAAAGAAGTGGAAAATGGAATGTTTGAAAAAGCTCAGAAGAAAATGAGACAGCACTTCCAGGCCCTGAAGGTAAGTTGGGCACCTCCTTGTTAACCTTGCAACCTTGTGAGCTGGGCACCTCCTGGCCCCCTCTCTCCAGCCATGGGCAGTGTGTGAGGGCAACGTCCCAAAAAAGGATCTGCTGAACACGTGTGTGGTAACGTGAAGGCATCTCCTGGGGAGACATTGGCACGAGGAGGGTCTCACCTGCACAGAGAGGCCGTCACTGGCACTGCTTTTGTGGCAGGACTCCTCCCCAGTGGTGCTCGGAAGCGTTACCAGTGTCACCAGCCCCCTCCGGCTGCTCCCCGGGGCTGACCCCACTCAGCTCTAGGCACTGATGTGGGGCTGAGCCCCATACTCGAGGCTCTGCCCACAAACAACGAACGGGACTGGCTGTTGTCATCCACAAGGGGCAGCTTCATCCCTCCCAGCCTCAAATTCACAAGGCTTTGGGCTTTAGAGTAGCTCAGAGCTGCAGCCTCTGCCCCCGAGAGCTCCTGTGGCCCTGCAGGCACTAACCCGGGGGGCTGGGGGGGTGAGGGGCTCCCAGCCAAATCCCCTGCTCACGTGCTTGGCTCTGTGATGGCTGCAGGCGGAGATCATGGAGAAGATGAAGAGGGACTTCTCTGCCATGCTCAGCCTGGTCTTCTGCCCAGGACACCCAGTTTTCCAGGAGCTGCCAGGTATGGTCCCGCTGCACCGGCGTGGGGGATGTCCTGAGCCCTGCCTGCAGCCCCAGCTCCTCCAGCCCCTCTCTGGAGGCCCAGCAGGGAAGGGCAACAGGACAAGAGGCCTTCCAGGCTCTGGCGTTGCCCAAAAGCCACCCGCTCTCCTGCAAGGCACCTTTCCCTCCCCGTGCTCCACCTCCCAAACCTTCAACGCCAGCTCCCAAAGCCCACTGCAGAAATGCCCTCCGGGAGCGTGGCTGCTCCTTCGGGGAGCAAGGAAAGGTGAGAGCCTGGCCAGGAACCAGCTCTCTCTCACGGGCCCCTCTTTCTCTCCGCAGACGTGCAGGATGAGATCTCCTCCATCCTCAGCATCCTGGGGCAGCTGCAGCCCGGCAGCGACGCTCCGAGTGCCGCGGGGCTGGGCTCGGAGGCCTCGCCCTGATGCCCATGGCAGTGCCCTGCTCTCTTTACCCTCTGCCTCCCTCTGCACTGGGCAAGTTTTTTTTTCCTCAATAAAGCATCTCTGAGTTGATTTGTCTGCATTTTGTAATGCTGCAGGAGTAGGAGGCCTTTGCTATCCCCAAGCACCTTCCTCCGGCATGCCTTGAGAAGCCCCACACCCTTCAGCAGTGACCCCCCTCCCAGGCTGTCCCCGTTTGGGGTCAGGGCCACCCCCAGAACCGTAACAGATGCTCTCGGGTAACCCCCTTTCCCCCCTGCAAAGAGGAAGAGAGGGAGACTTATGGATTAGAAAAGAAAAACAGCTTTAATACCACTGCTATAGATGATAGCATCATAGAATACTAACAATAACAGTAATCATAGAATCATAGAATCAT